TTACAAACTTAAAAATGGGAGGTGAAAGGGCCTCATAAGTGGAATAGCCTAGGGCCTCTTTTCATCTAAATCCGACCCTGTCTGCCAGTTTTAGGCAGTCCATCTGTAAGTACGAGTTCTGGCTTAAATGCAAATTCAAATTAAACACAGGAATGGAACTTGCTCATAACCTGGGGAGGGCCTGCTCTTGAGCAAAAAGCAGCATATAAATCTAACCACAAAATAAAACAGGTTTAGTAATATACACTTTATTAAGGGATTTTACTATAATCCCTATATACTGCATCTTGAATATTCCTAGAAAAATACCCCCAGTCCTTACTGGAACAATACAATACAGTTCACAGTATTCCTTTATATATCAGTTATATGGGAAATCTGCAGTCCTTTTTTGGGGGGGGGGAGATACTTTTACATCTTTCCCACTCTAAGTACAAACGTTTTCTATTTGTCACTTACCAATATAATACGTGAATGCTGGTAAGAGATAAGTGCGGTGTAATAATCAGTGAATCCCACTGCAGTTACATGTAAAGAAAAACATTAAACCCTTCTGATTTTAAAATGAAGGGCTCAGTTAATTTCCTTCCAGTTATAATCCTTGCCTGCAAATATACCTTCTCAAATTTGGCTGGATGTATTTTATTTTTCTTGCTTTGCAGCAGCTGTTCACTTTGGTTTTATCAGCCTTTTGCAGTTCACTGGTTTGTTTGTATTTCACCTCTGTGGGATATATCAAGGGCAAGACTTCCATTTCCATCTCCTATTCTCTCTGATGGCCTTTGGCTCCTATTTCCAACTGTTTTCTCCCGATAGCCACTAAAGGTAGATCCTTCTCAGTGGGATCCATTTTTTTTCTTGGCAGACTTTCCCACAAAAAATGTCTTGAGTCCCTCCTTCTGCAGGCTTTTAAAATGTGATTTGGTTTCTGGACTGTATTTGTTTGAATTGATATGATAGAGTTTTTATTTAGAATAGAATAGAACAGAATAATAGAGTTGGAAGGGACTTTGGAAGGTCTTCTAGTCCAACCCCTTTTTCAGGCAGGAAACCCTAGTCCAACCCCTTTCTCAGGCAGGAAACCCTATACTATAGTTCCAGACAAATGTCTATCCAACCTCTTCTTAAAGACTTCCAGTGTTGGGGCATTCACAACTTCTGGAGGCAAGTTGTTCCACTGATTAATTGTTATAACTGTAAGGAAATTTCTCCTCAGTTCTAGGTTGCTTCTCTCCTTGATTAGTTTCCATCCATTGCTTGTCCTACCCCCAGGTGCCTTGGAGAATAGCTTGACTGCCTCTTCTCTTCCCCCCTCCCCAATGTGTCAGCTTGACAGTACTACCCAGGCACTTTAACAAATAACTATAAAATATCTCAACTAAGAGTTGTTGTTGTTGCTGCTGCTGCCTATCTACCTCCTCTTACCTGCTGGAAGTACCCAGAAACACGTCTCACTGACACACCTATGGAGCTGTCGGATTTCTTGATTTTTGTCTTACCAGGCAAACCCACACACAGCAGGATGCAGTAGTAGAGGAGGGCCCCTATGCTGACCATGCAAGGTGATATCTCCTTCTCATCTGGGTCCTTGGCATTGCTTCCCCAGGCCGGATCACTTTTGTTCATCTTCTCTTAGTGCCTTCCGGCTACGAGGAGACCAAGGACAACGAGGTTAAAAAAAATACAATAGAATCCTTGCTTACAATAGCAGAAATCTCACCGATCCTGGACTGTTGGCCGCAGGAAATTGTTCCTTGTTGTTTTTTTAAACATGGATAGCAAAACAGCGGTGCCACTGAATGAATCAATATAGCTATAGGCAATGATTGATTTCATTTGACCCACATATTTCCCCATGGTTGTCATTATCCTGGCAATTCTATAGCTTTCCAATTGAGAAAAGTTTTTTCCCTCAGTGTGTATGTAAAGAGAGATTTGCTGGTGTACAATGAAGCTTCTAAAGAAGAGGTCAAAGACAACTTCTGCTCCTCTTCTGTTAAGTCACTTTGGCATGGGAAACAAGAGCACCTAGAAATGTAAAGCTAAAGGACAGAATTATAATGCCCTTTCCAAAATTCAGGATAGAGAGACATCATTAAGGGATTAGTGAATGTTCCGTTATATCTGTAGGGCATTTAGCAAGCTTCCCAAGGATGTAAGCAGATGCCAATATAGTGGGCATGGTGGAAATAAATGACTGCATTTAAATACAAGAGGCATTCAACCAACTCTGAGATATATTCTATTCCATTTTGCTAGTGCCTTCCTTCCTTCTTTCCAGTGGTTATTTTATTAGCTAGGAAACTGCAACGGGTTCCCTGCATTAACAAAAGAGTTGGACTGGATAGCCTCTGAGTTTCCTTCAGGTAGAATGATTTCTATTTCTCCATTTACAGATAGTGAGACCTAGAAGGATTTCTAGAGGGTTTTGGGGTGCACTATTCCCCTCTATGGACTCCAATCCCCTATTTCACTCTTTCCTAGCAAGTGGCAACTTTCTATCCACCCGGCTCCTGAGGTTGGTAGAACTAACCAATGTAACGACACAGCTCAAGGGAATGCAGTTATCTTTCCTCTTGCTAAATCAGGCTAGATCAGGGCATCCAGTCCAGTTCACTACGTGCCATCTCCTTGCAGAATGCAATCTGGTGTAAACTTACCTGGATGCTTTGGTGGCAGAAATTGTTATCCTGTGTTCGCCAGCTCTGCAAGTGGTCCCTGCTGATTCTCCCCAGTAGATGATGTCTGAAGGTCCTCCTCCCCACCCTCCTCCCCCTCTCTGCAAGGCTGTTGTAGGGACCCAGAGAGAAAAGAAAGAGAAAAGCCCAGGGGGAGAAATGGGAAAGAGGCTGAGCAAGCTGCGGATTCAAGCTCTTGCAAAAGGAGGGGGGAGGAGGAGGAGGAGCAGTGGCAGGTGTGCACTTGGCTGAGACAGACCTAGGAGGGAGTGGAGAAGCCGGCTGGTCTGGCTGAGCAGAGATGGAGGCGGAAGGGAGGGGAGGAAGCTGTCTCAGAGCACTGCCAGTCAGTTACTTTTGTTTCTGCTGTATGGGTGCAAAAAATAGTATCTCAAACCATAGACCCGTGATGGCGAATCTTTGGTGAGGTCTTGCCCTGTCAGCTCCAGTATGCATGTGCTTGTGCATGTATGCTCTGACCCGCTGATTTTCGGCCTTGAATTTTGGTCGTTTTTTACCCTCGGGAGGTTTCTCTGAAGCCTCTGGAGGGCGTAAAACCTCCCAACGTGCAAACCAGAAGTTCGGGAACAGACTTCTGGTTTGTGTGGAGGGCTGTTTTTCGCCCTCCAGAGGCTTCAGAGAAACCTCTGGAAGGTGAAAAATGGTTCAATGGGCAACCCGGAAGTCCGTTCCCGATCTCTGGGTTGTGCGTTGGGCTGTTTTCTGCCCTCCCCAGGCTCCTAGAAATCTTCTGGAGCCTGGGGAGGGTGAAAACTGGACCTACCAGGCCCACTGGAAGTCAGAAAACAGTCTGTTTCTGGCCTCCGGGAGGGTGCGGGATGCCGTTTTTGCCCTCCAAGAAAGCTGTGCGCACATATGCAGGGCAGTGGAGGGTGGATCGCCATCACTGCCCTAGATGTCCATATGGACTTCTGCCCAGAGGCTCAGGCCAAAGGCTTCTTTAGATGCTGCCCTCTGGCCCAGAAATTGATGTGGGTGTGTTCCACAGCGATGCTGCCTGCCTTTGAGCTTGCTTACTTATAGCAATAGTGTGGGTGTAATCAAATTGGAGGACAGTGAGCTGAGACAGAAGGAGTAAAAAGAGGCAGAGAGGGCTAGAAGCAACAGGTCGCTTTGCTCTTGTTCTGCAGATAGTTTGTCTCAAGATCAGCCATAGAGGTGATTTAAAAGGGAAAAAAAGGTTACTGTGATGTGGCTGTAACTATGTGATCAAAGCTGCCCTCTTGACTTTTTTTTGGCTCCTCTGACACTTCTGATGTCAATTCTTACCCTTCCTCCCAACAGAGAGCTTCTCATGCATGTCTGTAACGCATAGTCTTCTTTTCCATCGCCCCCTTTTTCCTCTCCCAAAGGTAAAGATTCCATGATGCATTTTGCTTGGAGATGGAGATGAGAACCTGAGGACCTTCAGGCAGGGGCATGTATGGCAGAGAGGATGTTCCTCCAGGAACTCTGCCCAAACCAATCAGTGCTTGAAAAATGCTTGGAAAGAGACCACAGCTGTTCTGACCTAGGTTTCCCCAAACCACGAAGCAGACTCCACGTCCCAACAAAACCCCCTTTTATTAAACTAATGTGAATTCCTCTCATTCATACCCAGCAAAGTACCGGCAAAAAGTCTTTTCAAGGGTGAATTTACAGTCACGGACCTCACATGCTTGGAGAGGTGGCAGGCCAATATCTTCTAAATGCCACACGGTATAAGAAAATACTTGGCAAGGAGTCTTTGAGAGTCATGAACAAATCTTCACACTAATTAAACGAACAACTTGTCTCCTGCAAGCTCCACTCCCCCTTCACTCCTCTTTATTCCCTATGGGAGGGCCATTCATCATCCACCCATGCCTTTACTCCCGAGTTGGCCCTTGTTCCTTACCTGTTCCTTTCTCCTGGCCCACTTATATCTGACTCCGAAGGCAGCTGATAACTGTCAGGCAGCCCTGGCCCCACCTCTGCCTCTGACCCAGAGCCCTCATCAGAGCCTTCCCCAGACTCCAGGACTGGCCCATGTTCTTCCCCAACCTCCTCACTGTCCAAGTCTCCCATTAGCTCTGCTGGCCGCTGGCGGGCCACAACAACAGCTAGTACAGATGGTTACGCTCAAGCCTAATGTGTTGGGATGGGCAGGTCCCACACAGCAGCTTAGCTGTCCTGGTTTTGATTAACTGGAACTTTTGGACAAGGTTCAAAAGCAGTCTCAGATATACTACAGATCATTGACCTACTTAAGCAGGTGGTTACCAGAATGTGAATAATTGTTGCAAAGCTTTTTTTGTCCAAGAACATCAGCCAATCCATTGATCAAACATGCTTTGAGTCACAGGTTCTTCTAGTAAACATAAGCAATCCGAGAGGAGGCCCACACTGCAGGTCTTCCTGCTTAGATTAGATCACGGGAAGTCAATCCTTCTAGGCCTACTACATTTCTCCCCCTAATTTTTTCAGATGTGAGAAGTTTTATATCCAAGTATATTTTATTCTTTATACTGTTTCCATCTTCCCTTAAAATATCAACAGAATACGCAATAGTTTGAGAATCGGTGTCTCCCCTAGATAATTGATAGTCAAGCGGAAACTAAGTTAAAATCAGCAACTTCCTCAAACCCCCAAATAAGTTACCCAGACCTAATCCACATATCAAAGGATAAGACCCACAAACACAGAGTTAATAAAATTAGGTCTCCCAGAGGAACTGCATGCTCACAAGGATAAACATATCTTCACACACACACAAACACATCTCAAGTGTCATCTAGATTCAGCAGGTGGACACTTCACCCTGGATAAGCTCCCCCTATAAAAATCTGCCACTGTACCCCATTTCTATGCAGCCTGCCCCTAAAGGCAAGTTCTTTTGCTTTTAGGAATAAATATTTCTTCTTTCATCACAGCTGTCTGGATCCCTTTTTTATTTTTGTGCAGTCCTGGCTTGAGATGGAAACCCAAATTATTCTTCTGACACAATGATTGAGGAATATGGCAGTGACGTAATGAGAGATTTTAACCATTTACTTCTACAATACTTTTTTGGGGGGGTTGCATTGAACTTATTGGAATCCAGATGTTACTGGTGCAAACCTTTTCTCTCCACTTCCAAAAAAATTAAAAATATACTCACATGCACATATACAAACACTCACCCTGTGAAAGGAGACAGTGTTAGCAAGGGACTCAGTTTGGTTCCTTCCTGAGTCATTGGGGAATTGGTGTGGCAGGGGGGAGCAAAGGCACAATCACACTTGCAAGCTTCTGCTTCTTTGGCTTACCTTTATAAAGTATAGTTCTAGTTATCCTGCCTTATTTCCTGATGTGGGCTACCTTATGGCCGCTCGATGGAATTGAACTTGACTCTGGATGATACACCCATGCAGTTTTCTTCCTGGAGTTAGGAAAATAATTGGCCAAGCCTCTTCCTCGATCTTTGTCCTTCTACTGTGTCATTTTAAAACTTGTTTTATTATTATTTAAGATTACACCTATTTAACAGATTAACAGAGTTGGAAGGGACCTTGTAAGTCATCTACTCCTGCCCAGACCATTTCTGACAGATGGCAGTCCAGTCTCTTCTTGAAAGCCTCCAGTGATGAAGCTCCCACAACTTTTGAAG